ATAAATAAAAGATCTTTCTCTAGCTAGTAAAGTTTTCAAAAATTATGTAAATTATTATTATAATTAAATACTTTATTTGTGTTTTTATCTCTATATAATTCTTTTGAGAATCTTAAATTCTTGTATACTAATAGGTGAATATAAACATGTAACTCAAAAATTTAATATATATAAAAGTTAATGTAATTAATCATCTCAGTTTAACTATCACTTAATTATAACCATTTTTAATATCAAATTGTAACAACACCAAGTAAATAAAACAATAGGTGCTTGATTCTCAACTTAATTGTCACCCAAACCTACTCCGAAATTATGAAAAGAAAAATTGTTAAGGGATCATGTGGTCGACTTGATTATAATGAAGACAAATTAATTTGAAATTGAGAAGCTTGGATCTATATTCTAATCCCTGAAGCAAGGAAACTTGGTACATAAGAAGCTAGCTTCGAAATAGACTTATGTTTTTTCAGTTCATCTGACTTTAGATCTAAGCAAAATATATATTTTCTTAAGCTTATTACACTTTGACTTATCTCTTTCACTTCATTTTTGTTTTTACCAATGCAAGTGTCTAACGTTCAAGAGATCCACGCACATTGTAGCTATAGCTCGAACATGCTTGGCCTGCTGATGAAGAGTGAATGCTTCAATTCCCAATACAACGCAAATCTTTGTTCTCAAGCAACCGTGTGCAAAATTTCTCATCGTGCCATGGCCCTACCTATCGATCGATAATATCTCACAGCTTCTCTCCACATTTATGCATGCTTATTAAACCGTCGGTGGTGGCATGGACAGCTTAGTTGCTACCTGCTGCTGGTCTACATATATATATTATGTGCTGAGTGCATCTCTTTTGGATATGTTCATGATGAAAGAGAGAACTCATAATGACAAACAACATGATAATGTCTCTAACTGGGATACACTAAACCAATTTCTTATTCAAGGTATACAGTGAGATTCTTGCTCTACTATATATTTAAGCATGTGCACTATCCAGTGAGTCATTACCTAATACACGAGACACCAAGTAAGAAGCACGATCACGATCATGGAGGACATCTAATTATGGAGGGAATATGTTAAGTAGGAATTTATATTCACGATCAACTTGGAAAAAATAAATTAATGAATAAAATTATTTCCCTTTTCCAATTATTAAGAGGAGACGTGAACTTAAAATCTCTTAAAGAGAAAAATTGGTATGTAGTACTGTTATTATTATTGTTGTTATTATTATTTGCCAAAGATAATTCTATCTGATATATATTAAGAAAAAAGTTGAAATCTTTCAACTGATTTCAAACTCAACTAACAAAACAGTTAAAATTGTCCAATTGTTGACAAAATATAAGGTTTTTTTTTTAACTATATTATATATGAACAGTTCAATTAGAAGTTCGTGGAACAAAACTTAAAAAAAAAAAAAAAAAAAAAAAAAAAAAAAAAAAAGGAAGAAGAAGAAGAAGAAGAAGACAACGAATTAAAACGATGATGTCAAATTGCTTCCTGAAAGACGGACTGAGTTTCACTAAAATTGAAAGAGTGGGAGTTGACAGCTTGAATCAGAAGGGTACCATCCCTTCAACTTCAACGATGACTGACTAATTAAAAAAATTGGCCAAAACAATTAATAGTTTTTTGAAACGCTAAAACTTCAATTGTGAGAGCATCCAAAGCAAATTGATAATAAACACCCTTGACTTCAAAAACTATACCATAAAAATTAATTTTGATAGATAGATCCAACTAATTATGGGTGTGACTATCAAGAAGTGGAGGCTTGATGTTTAGTTGCAATTCATGAATAAAGGGAGAGACTAGCAAACTACAATGTTCGTATTCTTGTTGATTATCCAAAGCTTTAGATAGAATTTGGGATAGAAGCCAATCAATATTATTAAATATAAAATCATCTTTTATCTTCTAATGTCGTCAGTATATGAAGCAAGTGAAATTGGAGAGAAAATGTCTGATTAACCAAATTAAGAGATTAAAGCTTTTCACCATTGAGGAAAAAAGTTATGAATACTGTTATTACTAGCTTGTAATAGATCTCTAGCTATAATGTGATTAATTTGATATATAGTGAGTTCCTATAAATTCTTAAATGATATGAATGTCAGTTGAGTAATTAAAACCGGTTGGCAAAAAGTCATTATTGTTGAGCACCAAATATATATTTTTAAGAATTTAGAAAATGAGATAAGTTGCAGATTGGACAAAAAAAGAATATAAAGTCATAAAGTACATACAGCATGTCCGTACAATAATTTCTTATTTCTAATACATCGCCTGTATTAATATTTGAAATCCACCTATTAATTTTTAAATTTAAATTTCATTTATTTAAGGAATGCATAAGATAATGCAATATTCTGCGTGTTTTGTGGCCTCCTTTTGATGGTTAATCATGTTCATATACATAATTTTCTTTTTCTTATTTTCTTGGGTGTTAGCATCAAAAGGGGACAAAAGCTAGAAATTTGTTAAGGTTCTGTCTTCACAAAAGATTGCAAGAAGCATGGGCATGGCTTACCCTTTAATAATCCATTAGTAGTAGGTTGCAAAGACACAATAAAATGACGATTGCCATTCTATTTCTGTTGACATGTTGCGGTTCTTAATTTGACAAAATATGAAGTTGCTCCAAAATAATATTGTAAAAACACCATATATATATTCAATAAAATACATACTTATTTATAAGTAAGATTGTGGTACCAACTTTGCATAGCGTATTAAATTTTGGATTATATAAGATCACACTTGTCTCTATAACTTAATAATGATAATATGATGCAATATTTTACGTAATTTTCTTTACAAAGACGTGCAACACCCCTTGATTGCCTCTGCTTTCTTGTAGAGGTCAATCCGGCCAACCATAGAAGCACGACTTTTGACTTAATTTTCCTTTTACCCTTTTTAATTATGGTTTATGATATCTAGTTTTGCCACTCAGTTGAATAGTGTAAAAAATGAGCGTCTGGGCCATGCATAGTCTACATGGTGGACCTATCATTCATCATATCGTCCCTGCAATCATCACTCTCAGAGCATACTTCTATTGAACTTTGTTGCTGAGACAGAGACCCAACTGAACACATATAGACAGCGGGACAACTTGGAAACATTTCGAAGTAATTTTGATAGTTGCAGAGAAAAAGATTATGGATGATGGAGCCTACCCAAAGATGACTCCAATAGGCCAGAAAGCGATAGAAAACGAATAAAATATATATGTTATTCTGAGCCAATATTTTAGGATTGATTTTTCGGTAATCAAATTAATAATAAGGTAAATTGCAACAACCCATGTTATCATAAAATCAAAGTTAATGTCCTAAAATTTGATTGTAATTTTTTTATAAAAAAAAAAACTCCACATAGTTTTCTAATAAAGCCAAGCCAGATTTTATCTGGTGGTTGATAGCACGAACAATAAATTAAATGAGTGAAATAAGCTTTTCATGTAATGAAAAAGAAATATTCATGAACCTTCTCTTACTATTTGATTTTTTTTTTTTTTTAATGAGGATAATGAAATTGAGGACACCATTGTTTTCTGTTTGAAAATGTAACTTTGGATACTAGATATTCATGAAATTTAATTATGAAGATAGCTGGAGAGACATCAAGTCATTTGATTTGTGTATCTATTTTAAAAGAAACTGTTGAGGAAAAAAAATTATGGTCCTAAATTGAATGGTTGGTTTGCAGTTTGATGATGGAAAATCAACTGGAATCGCGGTGGTTTGGAAAGAATCTTAAGGCAATTAATTTTGGGTCCCAATACTGCCTCGATACATTGTTCTTAATCAAAATTCCTCTTGATGGACATCCGTTCCATCTCAAAGAGCTATAGCCCTCTCCCCAAAAATGGTTAACTTCAATTTCAAAATTGTTAAAACTATGTCTATAAACTTGGAATTTATGTAACTGCATGATGAGCATGCAGAGACGACCGACAAATTTTATATTATTCATAAAGTAATAAAAAGAGAAAAAAATTAAAAAAAATTGAATTTAGATTAAAAAATTTATAATTATTGTATGCATAAAATAGTTACTCTTTAAATATTTTTAAATTTATTGAGACCACCAATATGAATGTTGCAGATCACTAAGAACACCTTTGCGAGATAATTAGCTCTATCGTTGGATTCTTGATCAAGATAATTCTCATCTACTCTTGCCAAATCATGAATTGGATTTGGAGAATAATTGGAGACCTAGCCAAGCGTTCAAATTTTTTACCCAAAGTGCTTTAAGCTAGGTCATGATCGAATAATGAGACAAGCTTTAAACTTTCTGCACTTATTTAGTATTTTAACAATCCCCAAGGAAGCCTATACATCCATAATTTGCATGACCAATGTAAATAGTAATCTCCTTGGTAGTGTTTTTACGGCAAAGGAGTATCAAAATGAGTTTTAGGAATCCGTTCCTAGCTAGAACAGTAGAGTACAAATCTTGTATAAAAAAACGAGGAAGGGTAGCTTAACAACCTACAATTGGATCCATCCCAATGCACACCATGACACCAATAATGTGTCAAAACGTGAAAATAATAGAAAATACATTAAACAAAGTCAAATTAATAATGAAGTAGTTGTCCCTCTCTTCTGTGGTCCATTGCTTGCTCTCACATGGTGTAATGTAAGCTTCACTCCTGCCCTCTTGATAATCAAATCAAGTACAGCTAGCAAAGATGATAGGTATAATACAAATCTTGGTTACAGAACATAAGTTAAAGAGATTGCAAGAAACTGATTAAACAAAGCAAGCTACCGGTCCACTCATATTCTTCCAAGTTATATTAACATATTACATTAATAACTTATGGTTTTGGGGACATAACATACACTTGCCCTCACATAACCAAGAAAACAGAAGAAAGCAAATACAAATGAAGTAGTGCCTTGATTTTACAAGAACATGAACACAAATCCCAGAAGTACATGATCATTAAGAATATTGATCATACAAATTCAGTGATAACGGCGACTAATTAGATCATATGATGCCCTGCTTGATCTTGGAAGATATACTATTGACTCAGAAACAGCACAAGTGCTCTGACAAGAAGTTCGGAGACTTATAAAACCAAACCTGTCACTAATGCTTCTTGATGCCTTAGGGCGGCGCCAAAAGTTACTAACTTGATAATCATCGTCGTCGTCATCATCCTTTGAACATTGAACTAATGCAGCAAAAAAGGGATCCCTTCGAAAGCTGTCATTGTTTTTCTTTTGAATTCCAGTTTCCGCGGAATTGAATCTTTTGCAGATTGATGCAGGGGCAGCAGCAGGAGGCAATGGGAGGACCTTCGATGTAGAGTCCTTTTTCTTGGAACCTTGTTTCTTAGGAACTCCAGGCAAATGTTCCCAAGAAAATGGAACACCGGAAAGTCGAAGCGGGGTGGCCGGACTAAGGAGTGAATCATCTAGAAAATACAATGATGAGCACGATGAGAGTGACGAGGAGGAGGAAAAGGATGTGGTTCGGCTGGAAGAAGCAGTTTTGGTGGCCGGAAATGCGGTGTCACAATCCTTTGGGACATTTTGGGCACGGTCACTAAGAGCTGCTGAGGAACCCATGGCTTTAGAGAGAGAGAGGAGAAGATACACTCCTTTTGTTGTTGGACTCTTGAGCTCTTTTCTTATCTCCTTTTTTTTTTTTCCCTTCATCTAGTTTGGTACATGCATTTTATATATGGAGGAAGAGGAGAAGTCTTGCAATTTGTAGCTTAATGCCATTATTTTTGGAACATAAATTTTTTGGAAATAATTTAATTGATAAACCAAAACGACCCTACAGCATTGATGTCAAATAGTAGGGGAAAGAAAAGGACAAGGAACAAAATGGGAAACTGAAGGTCGGAGTCATATCACAGCAAATGACACTAGCTACTAGCCCGTGTAACTTTTTTTTTCTCTCTTTTATTTATTTATTTATTTTTTTTGCGTGGAAGGGGCTTCTTTATCCACCTACATATATATATTGCTTTGGGGTCATTTTCATCCCTTGTGTGTTTCTTTTTCTATTTTTTAATAAATTTTATCCCTCGCATTTTTGTGTGTGAAAATATATGGGTGCCTATTTTTTTATCAAGGTATTTTAATTCTACGTTAAAAATAAAATATAATTTTTTCAATAAATATAATTTTAATATTCAAATCCTGTATATTAATAAAAAAAATCATTTGAAAATCAACTCGTTTATTATTAGGCTAACAACTTCTCAGTAATATATCATACCTTTTGATTATAAAAATAAATTTAAATTTATAAGCAAGTTAATACAGATTATTAGTAGTTGTCCATTTAACTCCATTGCTTGTATTATTACGCCATAATATATACTAAGTTAATTCATACAAATATTCCAGTAATTGGTAAACATATATAGATACTTAATAAAGTTAAATTATATATATATTCGTTATAATTGTGGAGCAACAATAGCACTATTAAGGAATTCATTATAAATTAAATGATAATATTGTAAGAATAGGAATAAATATTTATCCATTAACTTTCCCAATAATTAGAATACATGAGTTACTGCCGCCCCTCCTCATCCTCTGCTTTTTCCTACATCAAGACCCATCACATGCTTCAGTTGCACATTTTGTCCGAAGCAGTGAGTGACATGAAAGGCACCTTTGATAGGTATTATAATCCTAAAAAAGAAAAAAAATCATTTATATATCGTGGTCCAGAAAATACAAATGTAATTTGATTTTCTGCGTAATTAATTTTGTATTCGAATGTTCACCATTAATCGAAAGTGCTTAAGGAGTCATGGATCTAAGTCCAAAATATGAATTCAAGACCATGTGATAGCAAAACCGACATTATTTTTTGCTTTTAAAAATTTGAAGGAAATAAATCAGACGTTATATCAAATATAGTTTTAATAATGAATTTCATACGTATGTTTATTGACAACTGATTTGGCAAGGAAATCTAACTATATAAAATTAAATTTGCTTATTGTGCTAAAAAAACATAATATATCAAATATAGTTTTTTAAAAAAATTAATTAAAAAATTAGTTAATTTTATTATATATTAATCTATGTGTTTTTTTTTTTTCAGATATGAGCTCAAACGAGTTAATAAATAAATTAAATTAAAGATGGATATCATCCAACCTAAAATTTTAGACTGCGCAAGAGTAAATAAAAATATTCTAAAAGATTCGAAATTCATATCTTGTCATTGAGATACATTGAAAAAATTAATTTGGTAACATCCATAATTTGTTATTGCCATATGTCAAAGAGATTGATTTGGTGGATTCGAAATAGAATTGGTAAAAAATAAAATGCAATTGTAACTTTTTAGTTAGATGTTTTATTATACCATAATACTATTTATTTACATGCCTTTTACACTCCCTAATTTCTCCCCTATTTCCTTCTCTATGTATGACGGTCTATATAATCCAGAACAAGTCTATACATGGTATGTATGCTCATGAATAATAAAACCATTTGTGTTTTTCCCAAAATTATAAAAACCGAACCGGACAAAAAAACCCTCTAATCCGTTAAAATATTCTTTTGAACCGGCAATTGGATCACAAACCGGCAAACCCAGATCCTTTCTTAACTGGTTGACCCGGAACTTGCCAACATTGGCAAAACGATGAAGTTAAACTGAACAAAGGCTAATGGCCTCTAAGGAAGAAGACAACTAAGTTTAACATTCATTTTTAAGGATGTGGATTGAGATAATACTAATTTGCAGACATTGACTTCTATCAACTTTCTATTTTTAAAGATTTAGCCTACGGATTGTTATAAATTTCCACAAACTCTTTCCTCTCATTTGGACTCCATCTATTGTATTATAGCTAGTAGTATTATTTGCATATTTTTTTAATTCAAAATTAAGAATATTTTCGAATCATTTTTCATGATATTCGAGACTAATTTTTTTTTAATGTGATTAAAAGATACTTATTAATATACAGATTTGATTGTTTTGAAAATAAATTATCAAAAATATTAATCATGAAAATTGAACTTTGAATCTAATCTATAAATTGATGCTTATTTATTAACGAATTATCACTTTATGATTTTATGATTAGTAATAAACAGGTCTGAAAGGTGTTGTTAGAATACTAGACCCTTGTTACAAGCAATGGTTATATCTTATTCAAACGGATCCTTGATCCAGATTTGTATAGAAAGGTGTTGCTATCCATTAACATCATTTTGGGGTCTGGAAGTTATATATATTTTGATTTTGGCTTGTAAATGTAACACTAGCTTGCTTGAAAGAAGAAAATAATAGGAAAGAGCTGTGGAAGGCACGAACCAAGTAACTTCCTTTTCCCTCTTTAATTTGTTTACACCACTCTTTTTGGATATATAATAACTCATTTCCTAATAGGTTGTTTAAATATTTTTCCTAAAAAGTTACCAAAGTTTGGATTAATTCCCAAAAAAAAATTTAAAAATAAATCAAAGTTTCATTAATTGAATGATAATTCATGTATTTTTTATTTTTTTATTTCCCTGCTCAATAACTGGATTCAAACCACTAGCCTATGATTTATCGCATTTGTCAAATTCAAATAGTTTTCTTATTTTTCATTAGCTAATATGATTTAATCATCTCTTTTTATGCTTCCTGTAAACTTACACATCTTGTCTTTATTTTTCAATCTTAATTTATATTATTTCAATTTTTTTAAGTAGCAATTACCTCAAAGTTTATGAAACAAATCATCTAAACAAGTTGTAATTAACCGAGGATTGTACTGTATTACTTAGGTAATGATGAAACAAGAAAGGATTCGATGATTTTTTTTTTTATTGGCTTTTGAAGTTTAAATATTAAAATAAATATTCTCTTTTTTTTTTTAATGCTACGTATTCTTTGTCGTGTAGTGATGTATTCACCTAACAAATCTGTGAATGGAAATAGAAAACGAAAAAAATAAATAAAAACAAGAAAAAGAGACGCGTTCTTTTCCAACATTTCAAATCCGAACACCTGCAAGACTCCTCACGTGCATCAGTGCATGTGATCTATTCCCTGTTAAGTTGAGTAAATAAATTTAGTGTCTCTAGTTTTGATAAACAAATTAATTAGTCATCCTATTTCAAAAATTCAATATTAATTTTTGGCTATTTTTTATTTTTATTTTTTTAACAAAATAGAAAAATAAAGATAAATACATATTATGAAAAAATTAACAACCAAAGAAGAAATTTTTTAAAATAAAATAATAATCAACAATAATCAAATAACTACACAATTATTTTTTAAACAAAAAAGACTAATTATTTTTTTCAAAAACAAAAGGACTTATTTGTAATTTACTCATTGTTAATTTAACTGCTCGCATGTGACGATGGGCCCATAACATTACGTTTCCAAATTTGTCTAATGCAGCGATTTGATCCTCTTTGCCCCTTGAATTCACCAAAGTTTTTGTCAATTCTTTGGCAAAATCATTCCATGTTAGAAATAGCATAATTTTTAGGAGTATTTCTTTAATGACAATAAATTCCACTTGCACTCACGAGCTAAGTCATTGTTGTCTTTTATTTTCTTTTAAAATTAAAAAATTACTTCTTCTTTTTGTCAAAAGGAATAATTCTATTAAATTGAAATTGAATAAGGCTTCTTTTGCTGGATATATAAGAAGAAAACTAAAATAGAAAAAGATTCTGTACAAAGATAATAAAATGGACTTATATGCCATCATAGGAATGACTAAAAACATATAATAAAAACTTTACATAAAAAAATAAAGATTCATAACTCAAATCTAAAAATTAAAAATTATTCTACAAATAAATATACAACAGAAATATTCTTTATTGACTATTCATCAATAGTTTTGGTACCTTGATATTCTATTATATCTTTCTTTTTTTACATAGATAAGATATCTGAATATTGATTTATCAATACTTTAAGTATATCTTATGTTACAATCAAAGACCTATAAAAGAATAGAATGAGATGTAAAACAAGAAAATGCAATCCTAATTTAAGAAAGATATTTAAAAAAAAAAAACTAAATAAATACTAAGTAAACTAGATAAATATAAAAAAAAACAACATCAAATTTAGATTTAGAATTATTGAAAAAAAAATTGAGAAACGAAAGAAAAATGCTCCCGCCAATAGTGGCAGCTATGGAAAACGTTCAAGAGATTTTCAAAATTCTGAAGAAAAAAATTTTGCTAGGTTATGTATTTAGTAAGTGGCAAGTGATTTATATGAATTTGAATTAAATCATTATTGTTATTAATATAATACATGGAGTATGTAATTTGGACTGTTACAAGTTTACAACTGGTATTTTATTTGAAATTAACCAGCCATGCATTTCAATTGTTAATGCTAGCTCTTGAGTCGACGATTATTATTAACAATTGTGTGAGTTCAATTAAATCCATCCCTTGTTAATTAATATTATAGAGAAAACCTAGAAGAAGTCTAAGTTTGAATACTCCAACTTGAATTAAGGTTTCATAGAGATATACAATCAAAGGGCATGACTGTATTAATTATTTCATGCTTCGAGCACTATATTATTAGCCACAGAGAATTTATTACAACTACA